ATTTATAATAACAATAATGGAAATGTTATCATAAGCACTACTACTAATTGATACGTTTGTTGATGAATAGCAAGTGCTGTGTTGACTAACAGTACAACCAGCTACTGTAATATTAGCAAGTGATACTCCAGTACATATTTGATGAGCCTGTATAAATAATATAATGGTTATTGTGTGTTGTGTATGGAACTGTGTATAATACTTACTGGTAAAAGGAATTGGAAACTCCAGTCGTTGCTTATGTGATAAGATTCTTGATAAGTGATTGAAATTTTTGAATCTATCAATTTGAAAAACTACTTCATTTTTTTACATAAATTTAGGTTTACTTGATTGGAATCCAACAATTATGTTAGTAGTAGATCCATTTCCAGCTTTATTAGTAGTTGTAATATTAAACAGATATTGTTTATTGGTTGGGTTCATTGGACAGTAAGTGTAGTTAGTGATAGAGTCATTAAGGTAATGTTGATCAGTTCCTACACTGATTATATACTGTACTGTTAGTCCTGGTAGTGTGAATGGAGGATACCAACTGATAAACATACAACAAGAATCTAACTGATATCCTGTTAAACTACTGACACTATCAGGAGGACCTGAGAATATGTATAGTCTAAACATTAAAAACAATAAATGTGTTGATTATTACCTTGAACATAGAGATAAGCCGTTTCAGTAGCATTTCCATTGAATTGTGTATAGCAGGTAACATCAGTTCCATTAGATGCTATTGTTGCTGTTAGATTAAATGATATCATTATTCCACCTTCAGGTAATGCTACACTTGATTGTGAAGGTGGAATTGCTCCTCTAGCAATAAAATAAAGATTATTTCCAGTCACATTAGTAGCACATTCAAATGTCACAGTATCATTGACATAAACATATTGTGTTACTGGTACAATAGTGAAAATATCTATAAGAACAACATAAAACAATGGTAATCATAATAAAGTAGACCCACTAGCAGCAGTAATAGTCAGAAATTGAGTCAATATTATAGCCACAAAAGTAACCATTATCCTTGAAGGTGTGGAGATTCCTATAGACACTTCCTTTGGGTGTACACTGTTTATAAATGCACTGATCTAGTGATGATAAAGAGACACAATACCAGAGAGCAAAAGGAATGTGTGTGGGAGTAACAATATGTCAAATTACAACTGGAAACAAAAGTTTATATTTTATCTTGGTTGCTCCCTATAGCAGTTATTTTATATAATGGAATATTACACAAACTAGTCTAGGTATATACACCTTATGAATAATTACACAGTTTAAAGAACACACATAATGTGTCAAAGTGTCAGTCTGGTCTAAAATTAATTAATAAACAATTACAGTCCAGTTCCCTCAATAACACCATAAGCAGGACATTCCTTCAATGATAGTACTGATTGTGGGGCTGGCATGTTTTCATACTGTGGATTAACAACTGGTGATGATAGTTCTTGTACTTGTGAATCTACAATACAATTTATCACAGGAAACTGTCATTGAAACTTAGTATTACTTTGATTATCCTTCCCTTTCATCTTGTAGTAGCACATAATAAATGTAGCAACATTGATCACTACTGATAATATGAGGAATAATCCTGATACACCAAACAATACTGCTATAGTATTAAACTATTGAATTAATGAATGTATAGATATTAATGCTTACCACTAGAAACAAGTACTTCATTTTGATTTTTCAATAGCATAGAATCATTTATAAACTCTGTTGATGAAACTTCTGTTGTCACAGACACTACAGTAGGCTCAATAATATCAAGCGTACTTACAAAATGTATTTTTGCTAATATCAAGAGTACATAATACACTCCTCCAGTGATTCATATGCATACAGTGTTAAGTTATTACCAGCTGGTATGTCAGTGATGCACTGAGTAAAGTTCAGTTGATCATTATGAGATATATTGTAATACACCAGTTGATAAATTGGCTCAGCATAATCTGTAATGTGAATATAAACATTGTTAGTTGTACTGCCATTGACAAAATGGAACTGAAGACATATTCCATTGATTGTAGTATTAATCAACCTCAATTGACGAAGCTTATTAGTACCTGATAATAATATTAAATAATAATAATTTGTGATTCTACTAACTGATCTTGACAGAGTTGCTGTGAATTTTTACTCCATTTTGATGGTATAAGGTGACAGTAGTATCCAGTATCTCTTTTGATGGAAGATTTATAAAAAACAATAATGGAAATGTTATCATAAGCACTACTACTTATGGATACGTTTGTTGATGAATAGCAAGTGCTGTGTTGACTAACAGTACAACCAGTTACTGTAATATTAGCAAGTGATAATCTAGTACATATTTGATAATCCTGTATAAACAATATAACGGTTATTGTGTGGTGTGTATTGAACTGTGTATAATACTTACTAATAAAAGGAATTGTAATCTCCAGTTCTTGTTTATGTGATAAATAGATTCTTGATGAATAATTGAAATTTTTGAATCTATTAAATTTGAACAAAATTAATAGAAAATTAATTTCATTTTGTTATATGCAACTATACACTGTAAAAACAAAATAGTTAAATTAACCCCAAAATTTGGGTTAATGAAAATGCAACCAGAGTAACCTTAATTTCGGTTAATGTTAACTGCTTTCTTTTGTAGTTAAATTAACTATTTGAAATTAACCTTAAATTTAAGGTTAATTTAACCAATTAAAAATGTGGTAAATGGTGTAGTTCTGCATGACTGTCGTTAAATTAACATTCTCAACAGTTATTTTAACAATAAAAATAGATTGAAAATAACAATTACAAAAATTTAAAGTAACAATAGCTGACATAAAATTAACAATAAAATACTGATAAAGTTAACACAATAAAACTAGTAAAAATAATAAACTAGTTAAAATAACTAATAATGTAAGTAACATAACAGTAAACAATAAACAACAAACTGATCATAAAACATAATACAATTGATGATATACTGACTGTTCCACCTTAATTTCTTTGTATTCTTG